TGAATCATATTTTTTAAATGGCACTGCCTTCTGTAAGAAAGAGATTGAAAAGGATAGGAATGGAAAGGAGATCAGTTTTTTGCAGTTGTCCAGCTAAAATTTTGGTAATGGACTATGGTGGTGCTGTAGTGAAGATAGACAGAAGATGATGATTCAGGTATGTTTTTGGGTACGGTCAATGGGACTTTCTGATGGACTGAATAGGGAAGGGGGTAAAACAAAGAAAATAATTAAGGATCTTGCCCAGGTTTTTGCCTTGAGAAAATGGATATATGGCAGTGATGCTTACTAAGATAGTAAAAGTTCTAAGTGGGTATAAGTTTCTGAAGGAGAGATTCAAGAGTTTCTATTTGAATTGTGTAAATTTTGAAATGCCTATTCCACATTCAAATGGCAGTTGCCACTTGAACTACAGTCTACTTCAACTAGACTACTTGAATTAGTCTACTTCAACTACAGACCCATATTTTCAAATACCATATTCAAGGTGGTATTTGAATATGTGGGTCTGTAGTTGAAGTAGATGTCAAGGCTTAGATATATAAAATGGAAAACCATTAGCATATGAATGTAATTAAAAGTCATGGGCAGATGAAACTGCCTAGGGAGAAATTGTGAATGGAGAATGAAGCCCAGGACCAAACTGAAGTTTACTAACATTTAAAATGTTGGTAGAAGAACAGAAGCCAATTAAGTGGGCAACCAATTCCCTTAAAACGTACAAGAGAATGTGTCCTAAAAGAAACAGTGAAAGGAGAGAGTGGTCACTTGTATTAAATGCTGCTGAGAGGTAATCAAGTGCAGACAAAGATGTAGCCTTTGGATTTGGCAACATGGTGACCACAAGTAACTTTAACAAGAGCAGTTTTAGAGGAGTAAAGGGACAGAGTAATAATTCAGTATATCCAGCTGCTGGTCACTAAGGAATCAATAAATAGTAATCTAGGAGAAGAGGTGGCCAAATTGATATCTATGCAGTGCAATAAGGACTATGATTTGGGTCTGCACAGGGTTGATGGCCCCACAGAAGTTGGGTTACTTATCTATGGGTACAAGGACACAGAGGGCTTTCAGAAGAAGGTGATAACTTCTTAGATGTTCAAACTGCCTCTAAAAGATGTAAGGAGTAATGCATTAGCCTAAGAGCCAGAAGACCTAGTTTCTAGTCCTACCTCCACCACTAACAGATGTAAGACCTGAGATGAGTTCCTTCCCCTCTCTGAAGGGAGAAATGGCTGGAGTAGACGAGCCTTATTTGTTTTCTGTTTTAAGATCATTACAGAATTTTCTAACCTATTGAAGTCTGCTTAGACCGNAAGATGTAAGGAGTAATGCATTAGCCTAAGAGCCAGAAGACCTAGTTTCTAGTCCTACCTCCACCACTAACAGATGTAAGACCTGAGATGAGTTCTTTCTTCTGCTTGAAGGGAGAAATGGCTGGAGTAGACGAGCCTTATTTGTTTTCTGTTTTAAGATCATTACAGAATTTTCTAACCTATTGAAGTCTGCTTAGACCGAGGTTTTTTGTTTGTTTGTTTGTTTGTTTTTGAGATGTAGTTTCACTCTTGTTGCCCAGGCTGGAATGCAGTGGTGTGATCTCTCAGCTCACCACAACCTCCACCTCCCGGATCCAAGCAATTCTCCTACCTCAGTCTCCCGAGTAGCTGGAATTACAGACATGTGCCACCATGCCTGACTAATTTTGTATTTTTAGTAGAGATGGGGTTTCTCCATGTTGATCAGGCTGGTCTCAAACTCCTGACCTCAGGTGATCCCGCCCACCTCAGCCTCCCAAAGTGCTGGGATTACAGGCAGGAGCCACCGGGTCTGGTCACACTAAAGTTTTTAATTTAAGATTCTCGAGGAGAGATCCAAGATGGCTGATCACTAGCAGCTCGGGATTGTAGCTCCCAGTGAAAGCGCAGAGAACGAGAGGACACCACAGTTTCAGATGAATTTTTGTTGCTCATGCACCACGAGATTCCCAGCGGAGGAGCCCCACGGGTCACCAGTGCGACTCTTGTGGCCGGCGAGGCGGTTTTGCCACTGCCTTGGTGCGGCGGTTCTTGGTGCAGAGTCAGAAAAGCACCATCAATCATAACGCCGCTGTTTTGGCCGGCGCAGTGGGTTCCTCAGATTTTGGTGCTGGGAATCAACAAGTTGGACGTCCACTCAGAAACCTAATTATAAAGACGGTAATTATAAAGACCACAGATGGATAAACCTATAAAGAAGGGAGGAAAACAGCCTAAAAAGACTGAGAATACCCAAAATCAGAATGCCTCTCCCTCTACAGTGGATCACAGTTCCTCATCAGCAACGGAACAAGGCCCGATGGAGAACGAGTGTGTTCCATTAATAGAAGCAGGCTTCAAAAGGTGGATGATAAGAAACTTCTGTGAATTAAAAGAACTTGTTCTAACCCAAGGCAAAGAAACTAAGAACTTTGAAAAAAGGTTTGACGAAATGTTAACAAGAATACACAATTTAGAGAGGAATATAAGTGAATTAATGGAGCTGAAAAACACAACACGAGAACTTCGCGAACTATGCACAAGTTTTAACAGCTGAATCGAGGCCGGGCGCGGTGGCTCAAGCCTGTAATCCCAGCACTTTGGGAGGCCGAGGCGGGTGGATCACAAGGTCAACAGATCGAGACCATCCTGGTCAACATGGTGAAACCCCGTCTCTACTAAAAATACAAAAAATTAGCTGGGCATGGTGGTGCGTGCCTGTAGTCCCAGCTACTCAGGAGGCTGAGTCAGGAGAATTGCCTGAACCCAGGAGGCGGAGGTTGCGGTGAGCCGAGATAGCGCCATTGCACTCCAGCCTGGGTAACATGAGTGAAACTCCGTCTCAAAAAAAAAAACAAAAAAACAGCTGAATCGATCAAGCAGAAGAAAAGATATCAGAAGTCAAAGACCAACTTAATGAAATAAAACGAGAAGACAAGATTAGAGAAAAAAGGATAAAAAGGAACGAGCAAAGTCTCCAAGAAATATGGGACTATGTGAAAAGACCTAATCTACGCTTGATAGATGTACCTGAATGTGACGAAGAGAATCAATCCAAGCTGGAAAATACGTTTCAGGATATAATTCAGGAAAACTTTCCCAACCTAGCAAGGCAGGACAATATTCAACTCCAGGTAATACAGAGAACACCACAAAGATATTCCTCAAGAAGACCAACCTCAAGGCACATAATCGCCAGATTCACCAGGGTTGAAACGAAGGAGAAAATACTGAGAGCGGCCAGAGAGAAAGGTCAGGTTACCCATAAAGGGAAGCCTATCAGACTCACAGCAGATCTCTCAGCAGAAACCCAAGCCAGAAGAGAGTGGGGGCCAATATTCAACATCCTTAAAGAAAAGAGCTTTCAACCCAGAATTTTACATCCAGCCAAACTAAGCTTCATACGCGAAGGAAAAATAAAAGCTTTTGTGAACAAGCAAGCACTCAGAGATTTCATCACCACCAGGCCTGCTTTACAAGAGCTTCTGAAAGAACCACTACACATAGAAAGGAACAACCAGTATCAGCCTTTCTAAAAAATACCAAAAAGTAAAGAGCATCAACATAATCAAGAATTTACATCAACTAATAGGCAAAGCAGCCAGCTAACATTAAATGGCAATATTAAACTCACATATATTATTATTAACTCTAAATTTAAATCGACTAAATCCCCCAATCCAAAGACACAGACAGGTAAAAAAAGCCAAAACCCATCGGTATGCTGCATTTAGACCCATCTCACATGCAAGGATACACAAAGACTCAAAGGGATAGAGAAAGATTTACCAACCAAATGGAGAGCAAAAAATAAATAAATAAATAAAAAGGAGGAGTTGCTTTAAAGCAACAAAGATCAAAATAAGCAAAGAAGGATATTACATAATGATAAAAGGATCAATGCAACAAGAAGAGCTAAAGACCCTAAATATGCACGCACCCAATACAGGAATACCCAGATATATAAGACTTATAAAGAGACTTAAGACTCCCACACAATAATAGTGGGAGACTTCAACATCAATATTAGACAGATCAATGAGACAGAAAATTAACAACGATATCCAGGATTTGAACTCAGATCCGGAACAAGTAAACTTAATTAACATTTATAGAACTCTCCACTTTAAATACACAAAATATACACTCTTATCAGTACCACATCACATCTATTTACAGGTTTCAATGAAATATTGGTTGGCTGCTTGTTTGTTATTTTCTTCCCTCATTTTTTTTCATGTCTCTATTATTAAGCACAATTATAGGCATACCCATTTTTAGACTGCATTCTAGCCTGGGCAATAAAGCAACACCCCCGTTCTCTCTCCCTCTTCGTCTTTCTCTTTCTTCCTCTCCTTCATTCTTTTTCTTTCTTTCTTTCTTTCTTCTTTTTTTAAAAAAAAAAAAAAAAAAAAAAAAGATTCTCTGCCCTTCAGTTAACTTTTTGGGGTATTTCATTTAAGTATCTATATTTCTCCACTGGAAATTGATGTCACTTTCTTCAGGTTTAATTCATAGTTTTTGTTGCAGAATAAATTAATTAGGATAATGTTATTAGTTATCACAAACCCCAACATTTCTGTGGCTTAACACAAGAGTCATAATTTATTTCTACTTCATGAAATAATCCAGTGCAAGTTTTGACCAATGGCTTTGCATGCAGTTAGCAAGGGACCCAGGCTCCTCCCAACTTGTGGGTTTGTTATCGTTCCAGTTCTTACAATTATTTGCTTTCTTGTGGAAAGAGAAGGCAGGGAAGACTCATAACCATCTCAGCCTAGAGGCGACATATATTACTTCTGATCTAATTTTACTGTGAAAATTCATTGTGTGGCTTCACCTAAGATGCATAGGGACTGGGCAATGTGGTTTCTTGCTGGGCAGCAACAATTCCATAAAGGGAACAAGAGTCTTGGGTAGACAGCAGATATCTCCACTACAGAGAACATTTCAATGACCCATACAACTCATTTGTTTATTTTCTAGCTGAAGAAGAACTTACCTTTTCCGAATCAAAGATTCTTAAGAAATCTGCATTATTTCCTGAAAATCCCAGGTAGAAGCATATATCATTGTTTAGGAAGTAGAGCATAAGCAATTGTCATTAAATTCAACCTATTAGAATCATTTGTCTGGCCAGTACTTTTGACCTCTTAGATACAAGTGGGAGACTTCAGGGAGTATGCCTGGTGAGTTTCGTCAGTAGTATCCACACTAGGTTTTATTATCCTGCTCTTTTATTAGTTTTTAAAGATATTTTAATATCAAAAGCAATACTCTTTAAGTTACTACTTTTATTTATTTCTGCATATGGACAGTTCTGAAGAAATAAGAAAAATGATCTTGAATTTCTTTGACAACACTATAACAAGAATGAAGACATCTGATGAAGACATTATGCCTCTGGAATCTTGCCAGTGTGAAGAAATCCTAGAGATTGTCATTTTGCCTCTGGTCCACCATTTTCTGGCTTTGGAAGAAAATAACAAAGCCTTATATTACTTCTTAGAAACTGTATCTGCTTATCTCATCTTGCATGATAACTACATGGTAAGCTGTTTCTACCCAGACCTCCTCCACCCTAGAGACAAATCATAGAACACAGAGCCCAAAGGGAAGTTCCAGCATGGTTTTTGATTTCTTCACATTCTGTATTTCTGACAGCACCCCTTTCTGCTGAAAATCACATTGTTCAGATGGGGAATGATGTAAGATTGAGAAAAGAGAGTTGGAATACATTTCAACTAGCATTGTAAATTATTAAAAATATTGCCAGCTTTAGAAACTTGCCATGAATTGCCTACTTGTATGAGAGGTATGGGGGCACATCTCATTTCTAAATGATGCAGAGAGGACTCTTGGCATAGTCTTCCTCAATAACAGCCAAATGGCATTAACCCTCCATTAATCCTAAAATAATTGCAAGCACGAAATACCTGTAAATCTTTGATGAGTGCAATTGTGGTTTTTTTGTTTTTGAGACGAAGTTACACTTTGTCACCCAGGCTGGAGTATAGTGGCACGATCTCTGCTCACTACAATGTCTGCCTCCCAGGATCAAGCCATCCTCCCACCTCAGTGTCCTAAGTAGCTGGGACCACAGACTTATGCCACCATGCCTGGCTAATTTATTGTATTCTTGGTAGAGATGGGGTTTCACTGTGTTGCCCAGGCTGATCTTGAACTCCTGAGCTCAAGGGATCTGCCCATCTTGGCCTTCCAAAATGCTAGAATTATAAGTGTGAGTTACTGTGCCCAGCCAATTCTGGTTTTAATCTTGTGATCCCCAAAAAGTCTCTCCCCGTCTTTATCATCATGCAATGTGCGCTAGATTATCACACATACCATTAGATCACCAAAGCACTAGTGAATGTTTCTCTAGGGTAATTATAAATAAGGTTCCAGGGCAATATGCCCCTAGAAATGAGGGGATTTGATACACATAATGAAAGAAACAGAATTCATTAAATAAGTTGGAAATCACTGAGCTGAGTACAGTTAAATAAATTTCTTTAGATATTTCAGGGCCTTTGATATGCTGAGATACAGATAAATCTTTTCAGAGGACAGAGAAAGGTAAAGGCCAGGCTAGGCTGAAGTGTATACTATGTTTCTCAAACTTATTTGCCCTTAGATCACTTTTCATGGAGCAGCTGGCTAGGCTAACCTTCCATGAGAACTCACTTGAGGAAATGTCTTTCTGGGACCTTGCTTTATCTGACTTCAGCCAACTTCAGGAAAAGTTTCATAGACCTTCCATAATTTACAGTTGCTACTGGTCACAGCAGCCTAATCAACCCTCCTACCTTAGATTTACATAACATTCTGCAATTAAACTATTAAAAATGTTACTAAGTTCCTGTCCTTGAAAGCATTTATGTTAAGAATGAAAGTCTCCTGCATAGTTCATGCACATGTTTGGGGTGATGATGGGGATGTAGCCAAGAAGCCCCAGGAGGAGGAGGCTTAGGTAGGCCTGGGGATCAACTTTCTAGAACGTATGCGTACCCTTTTTCATTTGACAAGGAGTGCTGAGTGATCAGGAAGGCAGTGATTGGAAGCAGAGCCACAGTGCAAGGTCCCACAATGTGCCATTTGTACCCCCTCTCCCATCAAAGAAACTGGTGGGACTGGGGCTGGCGGCCAACTCACCACGTCTCCCTCTTTTTTTGCCTCCCACACATACCCAACAGGATGCATGAGACTGAGAGGTATTGCCTCACCTTATTTTATTCTTCAAGTCTGATCTTACCTTGGTGTTCACATATGCTAAGATTTGCCTGAGGATGTTAGAAGGTGAAGATGAAGTGAGGAGAGTTATGCAGGGACTTACCTTCCTCATCCACCTCCCAAAATGGCCCTAGCAAACGAAATGGGAGTAATTCATAATTCATTTCAAAACTGAAGACCAGCTTCTCATAGATGTGGAGATACTGGTCAGGGGAAGTGGGTGTGTTGCTGGAAATAGGGAGGTTGGGGATGGAATTACTGAGAGGAGGAAATTGGCTTGAGGGAAACTTCCGGTAAGGCAACTTAGATGATAGCATGAGGAAAGGTGGAGATTTCCAGATTCATCCTCTGGATCGAGTGATCCAGCAGACAAAGGTAAGCATGAAGGTGAGATCTTCACCCATCAATTCCCATCTAGAATTTGGAAGCCCATTTTAATCAGTGGAGCTGGGGATGGAAGTGGAGGCAGTAACTGACATGCTTCTTGCATCCCTTCCTTCAGTAGAGTCTGGGGCAATGGTCCTTCTGTGGGCTCAATCCCTGCTGAATCAACACTTTTCTACTTCTTGGGCTGGTTGCAGGCATACAGGTATTTGAATGAAAGCGAGAAGTTGCTAAAAACTCTTAAGAAGGACAAATCTTGGAGCCAGACATTTGAGTTTGCCACCTTTTACAGCCTCAAAGGTGAGGTAAGAAACCATTAAAGGCTTGAATTAATCTGTTATTTATCTTAGGCCTTTCCATAGAAGTAGAAGTCATCCCTATACTTTCTACATCCTCCTCCCATCTCTTAGCACAGACTTCTAGCCAAGACTCTAGAAACTCAAATCCCTGGGCTCCAGCCTCATGATGGCTTACTAGTAAGATCTTCCCTGTCTTCCAGGCTGGCATTTTTTTTTTTTTTTTGAGATGGAGTCTCTGCTGCCAGGCTGAAGTGCGGTGGCATGATCTTAGCTCACTGAAACCTCTGCCTCCCAGGTTCAAGCGATTCTCCTGCCTCAGCCTCCTGCATAGCTGAGACTACAGGCGCCCGCCACGATGCCTGGCTAATTTTTGTATTTTTTAGTAGAGACGGGGTTTCGCCATGTTGGCAAGAATAGTCTTGATCTCTTAACCTCAAGTGATCTGCCCTCCTCAGCCTCCCAAAGTACTGGGATTACAGGTGAGCCAGTGCGCCCAGCAACATCTTTTTTTTTTTTTTTTTTTTTTTTTTGAGAGGTAGTCTCGCTCTGTCACCCAGGCTGGAGTGCAGTGGCACGATCTCGGCTCACTGCAATCTCTACCTCCCGGGTTCAACTGATTCTCCTGCCTCAGCCTCATGAGTAGAGCTGGGATTACAGGCGCCCACCACCACTCCCAGCTAATTTTTGTATTTTAGTGGAGTGGGGTTTCACCATGTTGGCCAGGCTGGTCTCAGACTCCTAACCTCAAGTGATCTGCCTGCCTTGACCTCCCAAAGTGCTGAGATTACAGGCGTGAGCCACCGCCCTGGCCCAGGTTGACATCTTTATGAAACATTTTTGTAACAACCTCTAAAAATGGACCTGAATGGGTAAACATTGTCTCAGAGGTGGACGATGCATAACTAAGATGCAAAATCCTAGTCATTCAACCATCCTTCATGCATACATCCAACAGACATTATGCTAGGCACAGGAAGATTTTGTTTCTGGTCTATAAATTATGTTTTTGATAAGAATCCCCAAAATATGTATTGTTGGGACATACTGACTAAGTCTAGAATCATTGCTTTTCCTCTTTTCCTCTCTTCCCTCCCGTCTCCCTCTAGGTCTATTTCAATATGGGCCTGATAGTGCCTGCCAAGAAAATGCTGAGGAAGGCGCTGAAGCTCCTCAACCGAATCTTTCCTTACAACTTAATCTCCTTGTTTCTCCATATCCACGTTGAGAAAAACAGACACTTTCATTATGTGAATCAGCAGGCCCAAGAGAGCTCACCTCCAGGGTAAGAGAAGGAGCTGGGGAGAGCAGAGTGTTTAATCTCACTCCCCAGAGAGACCTACAAATAATCCAAGTCAGCCCCCAAAGCCTGGCCTCCAGGGGGCACAAGGACTCCTGTGTGGCTCTGACCATTCACTGGGGGAGGGGTCGAGTGTGGGAGGGGAGGTGCTCCCAGACCAGGGTTACCACAAAGCACTTTATAGGCAGTTTTTGCCAAAGGGAATTTTGATGACACAAACACAAGGGACCCCTTTGTAAGGTGAGTTCTATGTCCCTCCCTACTCATCTAGCCCATTAACCCCCATGGCCATCCATGTTCTGATTGGATGGAACACAGATCGGAACACGGATCAGAAGACGGATACAGGTGTTCCTGGGACTTCAGTCACAAGCCCTCTTCCATTAGGAACTGAGACACTGGGTTTTGCCCCACCCCAAAGACAAATAGCAAGCCCTGAAGACATTTGCCAAAGGACAAAACTCCCACCCATCTATGAATCTCAATCAGGATGTGGGTTACAGGGGGGTATCCGTTGGTCAAAATTGTAATGTTAAGATCTGTGCATTTCGATATATATAAATTCTACCTATAACTGTAATAATGAGTGGGGACAAATAGTGGAGAGGTAGATGAAATAAGCATGTTACTGGTTGTTGAATGCATTTTGCTCATTATACTCTTGTTTGCTGTGTATATGCTTGAATTATTCTTTAATAAACATTTTAAAAAACATTCCACCTGGGAGCCACGGTGGCTCAGGTCAGTTGTCCTAGTGCTTGAGGAGGCGAGGCTGTGCGTTCCAGGCCTGCCTAAGCAACAAAGACACCTCTCATCATTGAAAAAAAAAAAAAAAGAAAAAAAAAAAAGCTGGGCTCGGTGGCTCATACCTGTAATCCCAGCACTTTGGGAGGCCGAGGCGGAGAATCATCTTGAGGTCGAGAGTTTGAGACCAGCCTGACCAACATGGAGAAACCCCATCTCTACTAAAAATACAAAATTAGCCAGGTGTGGTGGCGCATGTCTGTAATTCCAGCTACTCGTGAGGCTGAGGCAGGAGAATCATTTGAACCCGTAAGGTGGAGGTTGTGGTGAGCTAAGATTGCACCATTGCACTCCAGCCTGGGCAACAAGAGCAAAACTCTGTTTCAATAAAAAAAAAAAAAATTCCACCTATCTAGCAATTCCAAAGAGGTGCCACCAAAGGAGATGCCACCTTGTTGGGTACCTGGAGAACTGACAGAGGACATCTCTTCCCTCTTAAGAGAGCTCAGTAGCAATATTCCTATAGGTTCTGCCCAAGACACAAACATCTATTCCTATGAGCAAGTTACTACAACTTTTACAATCCCATCAAAAATTGCCTCCCCAACTTCCAAACGTGTTCCCCCAAAATGTAGGGGATCTTGAGGTGAAAAGGAAAATGTAATGGAGCTGAGTTCCTGTGCATATGGGAGGTGGGCTCGTGGGAATACCTGGCTGTTCCTGGAAATCCCAGGAGGAAGGGCTGGGAGATATTCAGCAGAGATCTCTCTGAGAAGTCGGTGGTCTTTGCATTACATATAGGGTTGCAGGATGCCTCAGTTTGAATTTCAGATAAACAAGGAATACTTTTTTTAGTATACATCTATCACATGAAACATTTAGGACATATACATTCCATAAAAATTATTAGTTTTAAAATTCAAACTTAACTGGGCATCCTGTATTTTCATCTGTTAAAGCAGGTAATTTACACATCTCACATTTTGTAAATGAGTAAGAAGTACCTGCACAAAGGGAAAAGTAGAAAAGTGTTGAAGAAGAATCAGCTTCTCTGCTCCTTCTGGAATTTCCACCTGGTTCAGCCCGCCTGCCTTTACCACGTCCATCACGGTGACCCAGAAGTCCTACAACGTGTCCACCTCGGGCCCCCTGGCCTTCAGTAGCTGCTCCTATATGAGTGGGCCCGTGCCTGCACCCACCATCACACCTGGCTAATTTTTTGTATTTTTAGTAGAGACAGGGTTTCACCATGTTGGTGAGGCTGGTCTCATACTCCTGACCTCAGGCGATCCACCCACCTTGGTTTCCCAAAGCTGGGATTACAGGCGTCAGCCACCCTGCCCAGCTGGTTACATTATTTCGAGTTTCTGATTAGCCTTTCCAAAGGAGGCAAATCAGAATTGCGTCTATCTCAGTGAGCAGAGGAGTGACTGAATAGAATGGGAGGCAGGTTTGCCCTAAACAGTTTCCAGCTTGAGTTTTCCTTAGTGATTTTGGGGGTCCAAGATATTTTCCTTTCACAAATGGAATTGTTAATAATGCTCATTTTGGCTAGGTGCAGTGGCTCATGCCTGTAATCCCAGCACTTTGGGAGGCCGAGGTGAGCAGATCACAAGGTCAGGAGATCAAGACCAATCTGGCCAATATGGTGAAACCCTATCCCTACTAAAAAATACAAAAATTTCCCAAGTGTGATGGTGCACATCGATAGTCCCAGCTACTAGGGAGACTGAGGCAGGAAAATTGCTGGAACCCGGGAGGTGGAGGTTGCAGTGAGCTGAGATACCACTGCACTCCAGCATGGGTGACAGAATGAGATTCTGTCTCCAAAAAATAAAAATAAAACTAAAAATGCTCATTTTTTTTTGGCCGGGCACAGTGGCTCATGCTTGCAATTTTAGCACTTCAGGAGGTAGCTGAGGTGGGCGGATCACCTGAGGTCAGGGGTTCGGGACCAGCCTGGTCAACATGGCGAAAACCTGTCTCTACTAAAAACAAAAAAAATTAGCCAGGCCTGGTGGTGTATGTCTGTAATCCAAACTACTGGGGAGGCTGAAGCAATAGAATTGCTTGAATCTGGGAGGCAAAGGTTGTAGTGAGGTGAGATCACACCACTGCGCTCCAACCAGGCAACAAAGTGAGACTCCATCTCAAAAAAAACAAAACAAAAATGCTCTTTTTTTTTTTTTTTTTGTAAATGAAAAAGTAGCTGGGACAGGGCTCAATCAGTTTGGAAGTTATTTTGCCAAGGTTAAGGACATGCCCAGAAGGAAAAAACATAGAATCACAGAATCACAGAAATCATGGTCTGTGTCTTTCTCCAAAGATGAATGTGAGGCCTGCAGTATCTAGAGGGGAAAAGTGAGCTGGAGGGAAATGAAGGAGGGCATGGTCATCCACGTGTTACAAGAGAAAAGCTAGGGGAAGAGTCAATTATGTATTGTCTCATGCTGAGTAAATAGGCACTTAGCATAGGATAAGGTGGACATAGAGTAGCTACCGGTGCAGGTACTTAACTTTTTATCTGCAGCTGTTCTGCTAAGGAACAAAAGGAAAGGCAACTTCTTGTATGACTCAGCTTTTAGCTTAATTTTTTCCTTTTGGCATAGTGAATTGGGGTCCCGCATTTTTATTTTCCTTTCACATCTTTGTTGAGCTGAGAACTAGTTGCTGAGAGCAGTGTGCACTGGAGAAAATAATACATTGGACTTTCGGGCTGGAGGTAGATGGAGCTTGAATCCTGGCATCACCACATTCCAGCTGTGTGTCTTTGCCTTAATTACTTAATCTGAGCCTCACTTTCCTCATATGTAAAATGGAGTCAGTTGTTCCACTCTTTTGTTGCAGGGCTGTCATCAGAATCAAATGTGATGAATGATATCAGTGTATC